CATGTCTATACGACGGCGGAGACTGTATTAATCAGAGCGATCCCAAACGTGAGAAGGTACGTGCCGTTTTCATTTTCCCAAAAATTTTTTAAAGAAACCGTCATTCCGATGAGAATTTTTCGAAAATTTTGAAAAATATTCAGCAGATTTGACAAAAATATTGATCTGATTGATCAAATTTTCAATCACTTGCAGCTACCAGGTCATTTGCTGCTCTTGGTCGAGATGGAGCCACGTAGAGTGCTCGCCAGACTCTCCGGATTGCTTTTCGGGATCAGCCGTCTACTACGGGCACCGGTAGATGTGGCACATGATGTGGATGGTAAACCAATGCTCTATGAGTGGAGTCTTCACAGGCAATTGGCGCCTCAATTGGACCACACCGGTGGCTGGGGCTCAGGACGGCAGCTAGACCAGTCCACCAGCCAGGTCTCAGGGTCTCAAGTGGACCAGTCAAGTGGCCCAGCTGGAATTAAGGCGCCGAATTCCACTTTAGGCACTCTAATTGTGCTCTCGGTTGGGACGTCATCACCATCCTGCTCATTAGATCGTCAGTGCTTCACGAGTATCGTGGATGTGGCCGAATTTTTGAGTACTTGGCAATCCAGCCAGGTAAGATTTGAAGTGTTTTTGTTTGAAATTTGACGTGTTATTTGCTGATTGCGGGGGCGGGAGGTCTTCAGGCAGATTTTTGGACTTCAATTGCTGTCCACCTACGCAATTTCACTCCAATCCAGACAATACTACACCGTGGAGTACTTGAATTAGGCGAAAAAATTTACAAAAAGTTCCAAAATATTCCCAAAATTTCAGGCACTTCATCAGATGGGTATCCCGGTGTACTCGGCACGGGCAGATACCCGGGCGGGAAGGCCGAGCAGTGGAACGGCGCCCACTAGGGTACTAGTTCTGTTGAGTTTAGCGGTGTTTGGGACTGCCGTATCATGCGTCCTGGCCATACAGGTGGTCCGGAAACGTAAAATTGTGCACGTGGCAAGGACGTGGTTCCCACCAGCCGCTACACATCATGATACTTGTAAGATCTGTTAAAATTTCATTATTTGCTTGGGTTTTACTCAAAATTTGTGTAAAAAATTGATGAAATGGGAGCAGTTTGATCGCTGGAATGATCAGCAATTTGATCACTAGAGTGATCAGCAATTTGATCATTAGAATGATCGCAATTTGATCACTAGAGCGAGCCATCTAGCTGATAGAGCAGTGCGATAGTCAAATGTGAAAGACCGATAGATCAGAAAGATACAAATTAATTGATCCGCGGAGTTGGAAGTTTCGAAATTGGTAATGAAAACGAAAATCAGGTTTATGGCAGACCTGAAATGAAAAAAATAGGGCGTAAGGCAGACCTGAAATGAAAAATTCGCAATTCCACAAATCAGATCTGAAAAAATTACTGTTCCACAGACCTGAAATCAAAAAAAATTGAGAGAAAAGCCATATTTCAGGTTCCTCATCAATAATTGCCTTTGACGGCGCCCTAACCGGC